AGTTCAAGACACACCTTTAAAGCTGCACACCACCCTTGCACAAACCACGTGAAGAAAACCGAGAAGCAAGAATAAGATGTATCTTCTGGCCACCAAAGGAATGTAAAGGAAAATGTATCTTACTGTATCAGGCTCCTCTATGTTTAAAAAAAAAAAAAAAAGTACAAATAAAGACATATTTGAACAGGAACAGAAAAAATTCTTGAAATAGTTCAAGACACACCTTTAAAGCTGCACACCACCCTTGCACAAACCACGTGAAGAAAACCGAGAAGCAAGAACAGAGAACTGGAACAGAAACATACTTTAAATAGTTCGTGTGAGGCATCCACCGGACTTGGAGACATCTGGATAATGGTGAGAGCGAGAGCCAAAGACCATGAAAGTAATTGCGTTTCTGAATGAATGATAGACAGGCTTGTGCTTAAAATTAAACATTAAAGCTTTTCATATGAAGAGATCATGTTTTAAAGTGCAGTGATGGTAAAGCATCTTCTCATTAATGAGTCTTTGGAGCATCATACTGTGCCAGTAAGGGGGGTAGCACGGAGTGTGTGTGCACATTCGTATACGCCGAATGTATAGAGTTGCTGAGTGAAGGGTGGTGCACAATAGGAAGTGTAGACTGTATATCAGGATCAGGTTGCAATAAGTGATACATCTAAAGGGTGCTGAGTTTGACTAGTCAGGGATGTCACAGCTATATTTAGCAAGTGCTGCTGGTATCTGTGGAAAGGAGCGGGCATGATTCAATTAGTGTCAAATCATGACAGAGAAACTACTGCACTTATAAAGTACTTCCGCATATGTAGAAAGAAAGGAAATGTATATGAGAAAGGGAGGTTCAAAGGTGAAATCTTAAAAGACTGACAAATGTGCAACAGCAGCAACCACAGACCAAAAAAACAATTAAATTTTAATATAAAGCTTTTATTTTGAAAACATTGGTATAAAATGTAGGATTGGTATAAAAAAAGACCAGCTCAGAATCCTTCAGTGACAGTGTTACTACATAAAGGTTCATTTGGACAGACATTAAGATCTAGTATAGCCGGTTAACTATCTCAGAGAAAAATATTATGATCTGATGTATACATGGTGGCTGGAATGTTTGGAAATGAAAAAAAAAAAAAAGACATTTAATAAGCTCAAAAAGAAAAAAATGGCTGAATGCAGATCCTCTCCAAATACTGCAACTTCAAGAGTATCTACGATGAATCTGGATTGCTTTCAGTCTTGCGCTGACTCATGGAGTTAGCCACGTAACCTATCAGGGCAAGGTATTCCTCAAAGCTGACTTTTCCATCGCTGTTTTCATCCAGTCCCCTCTGCATCTCCTTAACAGCAGAGGAGTTGCCTGCATCCTGAGTTTAAAAACAAAAAAACAAATATCAAAGAGATTAGAGATTACAACTGCTTTTAAATTCATGTTCTAATATACTGGCAGCATGACGGACAACCACAAAACACTTACTTCCATGACACCACTGAGGTTTTTCTCCACCAGTTTCTGGAAGGATTTGCTGTCTAGGTTCTCCTTCCCCCTGGAAGATTTAACAAACGTGGTCACCAACGTCTTAATGGCGGACTCCATATCTGTATAAGAGAGTGAGACAAGGACAAAGCAGAAATGAGAATTTAGGACAGATAAGGACATATCTTAGAAGACTCTCAGACTCTCAAACATTGTGCCATGAGATACTTTTCCTGTGAACTTTAATAATATCATAATGCAAAAAACTAAACAGGGCATGGAGTGGATGAGATGCTTATTTCATATTGAACATTTCATGCTTTGTTTGGTTCTGATTGTGAAAAAGAGTAATGTCAGCTGTGAGTTTGTGGAAGACTTGTGCACAACTATGTGACCTTTAACTCTATACAACCAAATTATAAAGCATATTATGATGTATTTAAATTGACAAACATGTCATTTATAATACCTGATGATTTTAAAAAGGCAAAACCCAGACAGAAAAAAAATCCTCCTAAGACCCTCTTGTCCTCTGTGGGAAGAACAGAAGTGGAGAGGAAATCCTGGGTTTTCTTCTGACCCCCTAAAAACAAACCTTTTACTTAGTGTCCTTTGCAGTGGACAGCAAGACTTACTAACTCCCATTTTTAACCATTTGTCCCATTCAGAAAGCAGAGGACCAAGTGAGGCAGGAAGGACTTTACTCATACTTGTAGAAGCGAAGTCAGACTTACAGATGTCAGCGGACGAGGTGGACATGGTTGAGACATTAGGGCGGGAAGGCGAGAGCTCAGAGGACACACCAGCTTCTGAGGAGCCTGAGCTGGGATTAAGTGACCCATGGTCATGAAAAGCAATGTGTAATGTGGAAATTTAACAATTTATTCATTTAACAAACAGGGGCCTTAGTAGCATACGGAAGAACCATACACAGCCACGACAGCCTGGCACCTCCTCCTCATGCTGCTCATAAACTTGGTCCAGCTTGGTCTAGGATGACATCTCATTCTTCAACCAGCAATTGTCACAAGCCAGCCAGTGTGGTTGTGTTGGACGCTATGGCCCAAACAGCACGCACAAGCGGATCACACAAGTGTTTAACGGTGTTGAGGTCGGGGCTGCAGGTAGGTTCTTCCATCCTCTCCACACCCAAATTCTTCAGATAGTCGTTGATAAACCCTGCTCTGTGGGAGCGAGCGTTGTCATGTTCGAGCACAGAGGTCAGTTGCCAAACCTCATCTTGATATCTTTGCATTGCGAGTGCCTCCAACGACGACGATCCTTGTTTATCCAGTGAGGGAGATGCTGCCTCACAAAATCACACCTCCTCTACCCTATTGGTGCAACAATCAGAATGGTTGCTGCACCAGTGGTGAAGGATGGTCATATCAGGCCTCCTGGCAGTTCTATGAGACCAGCGACTGGCTGTGTGCTGTCTTTTCTGGATTGTTTGGGTAGAGACCCCTCGGCCATACCGTCCTGCAAACCTTGACTGCAAATCTGTTAAAGGCTGCCTAAAGTGCTAATAGGGTGAGGAAATGATCTTCTTATGTAGTAGCCTTCTTGGGACGTCTATTTCGCGGCCTGTCTCTGACATACCTTGTTAGATGGAGCTTGGCCTTCAGTTTGGAGATGGCACTGAAGAACAATCCAAATGATACTGCAAGTTGGTTTTGTGCAACACCCACTTGAAGTTGTCCTATAGAACAAGCCTAATTCAGATCAGTCAAATATGGCGTGCTTGAAGTAGACACCAGTTGACCGCTATAGCAAGGCCTGCTAATCACAGACAGTTAGACACTTGATAGCCAGAACTGGAGTACCAACAGTTCAAACCAAGAGTCAGTAGCAGAACAAGCTATTTGGCATTAGCAGAGAAGATTTGGCAACTTTTTCATGGGCGCAACCCATGTCAACAAATGTGGTACCATTTAAGGGGAAATGAACAGACTTTAATGGTATAGGATTTCCCAAGAAGCATTGTTACAACAAATAAATAACGGACTAATCCATGACTTGGATCCGGATACACCGAGTCCTTATTATAGCTAATTTAATAAGTTGAGACATATTCTTCAAGACTGGGCAGTCCATTGAAGTAACAAATTAGATAATTTTCTCCTCTGATGTTGAAAAAGAATAATGTGAGATTTCTGTTAAACAGCGTGCAAGAAGGCTGCCTCAATCTGCTGAGACCAGTGAAGGTCTGTGCACTGTAGATGAGCTGATGTTTCCTTTCCCACAACTTCAGAGCCCCGCCTTGTTGTCATCTTGCTTGAGGTCAGGCTCCTTAAAAGCCTGGATGTCATCCTCTGAGCGTTTGCCTTGCTTTTTTAATCAAAAAGTTCAACGATGTGAGTTTTTTTTTTATTTAAAAACAGTGTTTATGTGTTCAGTCGTAACTGTTTTAATGTTAAATAAAAGGAACTTTTTTAGCAGAAATCTACACAAAAATGAAACCAATATCATTCCATCACATCATTCTGTCATCACGCAAGACACCATGTTCATGACAAGGGGCAAACAATTAAACAAAGAAAAACAAAAAAATTAATGAATAACAATTTTTACAAGGATTTCTAAATATCAAATCCTTCTTTGATATTTAGAGATTTAGAAAATTCTTGTTCAAGCGGATTTTGAAAGTGCATTCAAATTGGTTTATGTAAGTGTCAAAAATGTGAGAAATGTGAGACACACAATTGACGTCAGCATGGAAGGGGAAGAGGCTGGATGCCGGTGGAGGTAAACAGAGCAAAAGAGAGGGAGTGAGGGGAGGCTGAAGAGATGGGGAGTCTCTAAAGGTAAACACAATGGGAGCTGTGATCTCTGACGGTGGACATCTGATCCCCAAAAGCGAACAGGAGGCTGCGAGATCAGATTACTGCCTAATGCCCGACTGCAGCAGCACACACTACCGCGCACTGTAGGGACACAAGTACGCACTGAAATATGTCACCCAACTAGTCAGCCAAACACTAACAGATAACCTGAATGCCAACGTCACATCCTGCACTCACTGAGCAAACCAAAAGCAAACCATTTACAATCTCACTGGATGTCAAATCCGGTAGCTCTAATAAATAAAAAACAGCAACATCAACACAGCACACACTGGAAATATGACAGAAAGCTAAAAAACAAAACTCCACTGATCTATTTTAAGCATGCAACTAATTAATTCCATTAGTCTGTTTTTAAAAGCAGGCACAATAATAAAAGCAACTATTTAAAATACTGTAATTAATTATGATAAAAATAACATTTAGACACTGCAGTTACAGGGTCCCGGCTCACTGTCACGCTGGCAGGGTTTTCCGAGACATTTCAACATAGCCGTGCCATTAATAGGAACACTGGTGCTTTCCCCACTGTGACAGATATCTGCTGTGAAAATGTCTGTGGTTTCATAAGTGACACAGAGATGATATATATACATATATCTATATATATGTATATATATTCTCAAATGAGCTGGTGGTGCTTGCTTTTTATTTAAAATGCAAAGCACCAAGAAAATGCAGGAACTGCTCACAGCTGCAAAGGATTACAAGTAATTGTGGTAAAAAAAAAAAAGAAAAAAAAAAGAGAAAGATCAGGGGCCACGTCAGAGCCCTGTACCTCTAACAAATAAACAACTAACAACAAAAAAAAACCCTGTAAAAAACAACACAAAGAAATAACCATAGTAATTTGACTGAAGTACACAATTAATATGCAGATTAATCAGAGAGATTTTCAGTTATTTTCTGTTGCATGTGCACATGGAGTCTTTTAAGGTCACTCCCATGTAGTTTTCTCTTGTCTCAACAAAGTAGAATTCCAAGGCAATGGCTCGCAGAAAACAAAAGCCCTGAATGAAAGCTGAAGATACTTGAGCAGCATTGATAAGTATCTCAGCAGCGTGGGGGCGAGGCCTTGCTGCAGGATTTCCAGTGTGTATTGGAAACTACCACAAAGCAGCAGTGGACACTGGATGGGTAATAATCATTGGTGCCTGGAGTGATGTCGCTGAGGTAACTTTAGAAGCTGGTAAATCTCCCATCTGACACTGATGTCACGCCTCACCGCTCACACTACTCAGCTACTCTGGCCCACACGAGAACACATAGACATGCAGAAAGACGGAAAAGCACACACACATATGCAGAAACACACTCATCTAAAGAAGGACAATGCCAATTAGGACGTCTGTTGCATTAACCTAATTACTGGGTGAATGAGAGCAGGCACCCAAACCCTGGATTTTGTTTCATGTCTCCCTGCCATGCCAGCACACACTGACACACACACACACAACTCTTTTCAACATTCAAGTTAGCATCTGTCATCAGCCTGCTGCTCATTATTATTTAATACGTTACTATAATTGTCTTAACACCTTCCTAACATCCTCCACAAGTCAAACAGCTCAGGAGCAGGCTGTTTACAGGCCATTTATCAAAATGCTCAACAGGCCACAATCCATTAGCATATCTCCTGAATGTAACAAGATTAGCAGGAAACCAAGAAGGCTCCAGTATGAACCGGAGACATCAGGGCCACAAAAATACAAAATGAGTAGAAAGGAACATGTGGCAGGGCAGTAGGGTTTGTCTGATGAGGGCAGTGAGCGTGTAATGATGACAATTGTGGCTCTTGTACAAGCTCTTAGTGCATACACATTCCAACTCTGAGTGTGGAGATGGTGATTAGAGAGACTGATGGCAGCTCAGTAGTTGTCAAACACAAGCAATGCGTTTTCTAGTGATTTGTCAGTTGCAACTGTAATGATTAAATGGAGATTGAAAAACAAAACAAGATCTGATACAGACATTTGAACAGGAATATACTTTTTAAAAGTTTACCTCATGTGTCCACCAAACTTTGATAAGAGATGGTGAGAGTAAAAATTTAAAAAGCTGCAAAGAGCAAAACTAAGAGCCAGGAATACATTTGAATAAATGTTCTATATTTGTCTGTTTGTGTGCAAAATAATAATGAAAATAAGTGGAATGAAAGCCTGAGTGGAGCCCAGTTCATACTGTTGGTATGAGGGTTTTTTTTTTAATGACACTTTTTTGCATTTCACACAGAGTGGTTCAGCAGCTGCTAATGTGCTTGTGAGCATCATGGATTATTACCAGTAAGATAAGAGAAGGGCTAGATTTTCCTGTTTTAAACATCTTTAGAAGCCTAAAGTTACAAAATCATCCAGCACTCACAAAAGAAAAAAAAGAAGAATTCGAGTTTTAAACAATAAATATTAAATAAATTAATAATGACAGTTATTTTTTTTATATCACCGGTGTATTATAACATGCAGCCCATTAAGCTCCCTTAAAATTATACACATTGTAGCTACATGAAATCCTGAACTAACGGAATAACATGAATATTGAGCAGACCTAGCAAAAGAGAGGGAGGTAATGTGAGGTAATGTGAGGTAATGAGCGCTGAAACTAGATGAGACTTGTCATGTGCAAACCAGTTTTAACCCAGTATGTCCATCTAACCCACCCCTCACTACTCCACTGAAGAAGACAAACTGAGAACGCGAAAACCGAGAAAGTTTGAGCATGCTTCCCATCTCAGACCAAACGGATCTCTCTCTCTTTTTTCTGTCTTCTTCTGCGATGGCAACCGACGTGAGCAACCATTGATCCTTGTGGGTGACCAGCTCCACCCTGGTCGTGTTGTTTGCACTAGGTGTGACTGACTCACTTCCCCCGTGACCATACCTGTCATCGCCCAGGTCGCTATTTCTCCTCCGCTTCATTAACTACACCGGGTCGAAGCCATTCGAGTCTCACTACCGGAGTCTTATCATAACGTTAATAATTCACAGTGATGAGAGCCAAATCTGACTGTCGGTACAACGGTCACATTATGATTGACTAACGGGGCGATAACAGCCTCGGCTCACGAGCCAAAATTAGTAAGCGCCGCGCGTAACGGAGATGTTAGGGGCTTGCCCACGTCGCACATTTACATTTAGCCCTAACTAATCCTCACAATTTGTAGAATGACCACAGGCAGGAGTGACACACAGCAGATAAATAAGTAAACGCGACTGGAGACTCCGGTTTCTGTGTAAGTGTAAAGGGATTGGGGTTACATTACCAAGAAGATGAACCCGATCCCTGTGGCCACCAAGCTGGGTAATGACAATAGAGAGGCTGGCAAGTAATAGAAAATTGATGACACGGTGCAGAAAATAAGTTCAAGTTTTCAATTTTTTGTGTTGAGTAGAAAAGTTTGAACTCGTAATTTAAAAAAGAAACAGCTGAATTTATTAATGAAGAGAACTTGTAATGGAGAGAAAAAAGCACTCACCTTTGAGAGCGAGAACAAAAGCCTATATAAACTGTCTCAGCAAATGCTCTGCTTCTTTCTTTCAGATCCTCCTCGCAAGGCTTCCTCTAGATTAAGCAGCTACACATATCTTTTCCGTGATTTAACTTCTGACTCAAGCCAGTTTTTTTTCACAGTTTTAGGGCGTGTGCCTGGGAGAGGAGGAATGTGGAAAGAGGCGCAGCTTGAGCAACGCAGCAATATTTTCTTAACAAAGATTTCCGTTGTTCCACAAAAGAGTCTAAAAAAGCGTTTTTGATTTCAAAAAACTTTCGGCCTTTCTGCTTTTGTTTTATACTCACACCCGCAACTTTGCTATTTTTTAAATATATACATGTATTATATTATATTGTTCTTTTTTTTCTGGCACAACACAGTTTCTCTCAACAAGTAGGGACAAGAGCGCGCGCATGTTTTAAGCGCGTGTGTGTTCAAAGCTTTAAGAACAGACAGATGCAGTCAAGCCACACCCTGAAAGTGGTTCAAAGAGTGGAAAGATGGAGTTATGTAGCAAAAAAGAA